TCTTTCACGGTAAGACACACATTAAGAGAAATGGGTTAACCTAGATGTGAGAATTAGCCAGTAAGAGGCTAGAGCTAATGGGCCAAGCAGTGCTTAAATGAATACAATTTGTGTGTTGTTATTTCGGGTAAAGCAAGCCAGTGGCTGGGGGCTGGGCGGCAGGAACGCAGCCTGTAGCTCCTGCAACAAAATGGTACCCAACGTGGAAAATACAAAGAGAATGGCGCCCAGACGTGGATAACTGAATCCACAGAAAGTCTGAGAAAGTTTGGGAAAGAATAGAGTAAAGCATGTTTTCTTGATAGCAGCAATTTCTTGGGTCTGCTCTGCTTGCTAGAGGCAAGCAAGTGCTCTCGGCTAAGAGAGGCTTCCTGACTCAGCTTTAGCTGCAAAAACCTGCAGCTCTTTTAAGAGGTCCTGCCACGAAACACTTAAACGGTTGTTGATAAAAGCTGACTGCATGCTTGTTTGTTTTCAGCCATAGCAGGAAAAAAGTTGTGCTGTTTTAAAATGCTGGCATTCTGGTCCGTCCTGCCAGGGCAAACTCTGACTCTTTCAGGCAGGCGATCTGACTACAGAGTGTTTGAGTGTGGTTTCTGAGTGCAGTGCTGCAGCTTGCTTGCTGGCAGGGACCTTGAAATGCCACAGAGTTGTGGCAATAAAAATGGCTCCAGTGGTGCCTCTGCCACCTGCATGAGCTTGAGGACAGCTTACACAACATGAGACCCCATACTATAAAATAAACAAAGAGTCAGGCAGTGGTGCCACACACTTTTAATTTTAATTCCAGCACTTGGGAGGCAGAGGCAGGCGGATCTCTGAATTTGAGGCCAGCCTGCTCTACAGAGCAAGTCCTAGGACAGCCAGAGCTATACAGAGAAACTCTATCTCAAAAAATAAATAAATAGTATTTGTGAACCAAGAGAGGCACTAAAGTGTTGTGGAGTAATCTTTTTGTACACTGTGAAGATATGTCACTCTTTGACTGGTTTAATAAAAAGCTGAACAACAGCCAATCACTCTAGGCAGGCTTTCCTGGCACAAAAGACACTGGAAGAAGAAAAGTGGAGATGCCAGAGACCCAGAGCAAGCAGCATGGGCACTAGGGAGATGAGGTAATAAAGCCATGAGTCAGAAAGTACATTAACAGAAATAGGTTAATTTAAGTAATAAGAATTAGTTAGAAACAAGCCTAAGCTATTGGCTGAACTTTCATAATTAATAACAGTCTCCGTGTCATAATTTGGGAGCTGGTTGGCAGGACAGAGAAAGACTCACTACAACATGAAGGCACATTTTTCCACATAAAACCTGAAAAGGCTTTTTAAAAGATTCCAAACACAAAAACAGAGACAAACAGAGCTTTCTAGTCCCACAGTTTCTTATGTGGGTCACAGTAAAGAGAGGCCTCTCCCGGCCACTGCCTGCAGGCTTGAGCCGACAGTGCACCAGGAGCTAAGCTGCCTGGCAGTTGAAGGTTTTGCTCATGCAGACAGAAAAGGTTACAGATACACAGTAAAGCAGATTCAGATGGTAGAAACTTCTACAGGTTACAGTGTGTTTAAAAAAAAAAATGTGTGTAGGCTTAAAAAAAATGGGATAGTCAATCATAGAAAAAAATAGTTTGGCTGGGCGGGGTGGCATATGCCTTTAATCCCAGCACTTGGGAGGCAGAGGCAGTTGGATCTCTGTGAGTTTGAGGGAGGCCAGCCTTGGCTACAAGACTTAGTTCCAGGACAGTCTCGGCTACAGAGAAACCCTGTCTCAAAAAACAAACAAACAAAAACAAAAAAGAAAAAAAAATAGTTTATAAATGCTGTGGGGTAATGCACTGTAAAGATATGTCACTCATATTGGTTTAATAAATCACTGATTGGCCAGTAGTCAGTAAAGATGTATATATAGGTGGGGTGACCAGACTAGGAGAATTCTGGGAAGAGAACTGGCAGAGATGCAGTCACCAGCCGGACACAGAGGAAGCAAGATGAGAATGCCTTACTGAGAAAAGGTAAACACAGACAAGAATTATGGGTTAAGTGGTAAGAGCTAGTTAATAATAAGCCTGAGCTATAGGCCAAATAGTTTATAATTAATAAAAGCCTCTTTGTGTTTATTTGGGACTGAATGGCTATAGGTGAGACAAAAACTTCCATCTACATATAAATAATAAGGTAAAGTCTTTAAGGAGAAAATAAAATAATATAAAAAGGATAGGTCACATAAAGATGGGAAATACTCAGGGACTCTGGATCCTGTATGGTGCTGTATTGACATTAAATATTTTGATTGCTGATGAGCAAACAGCAGCTGCTGAGAGAGATTGGATTATGGACACTGCTAAATTAAACCAACCTATATATTTTTAAATGTCATAACTTCAAAATGGAAGTCAAAAAATATGTTGCCTTCGGAAAGAGGTTTTATTTCCACAGAAATGAAAGGCTATGGATTCATTCAAGGTTGCTAAGAGATCAGATTTGATCAGGGGAGACCTCCTGAAAATTCTGACATAAAGAAATAAATCTCAAATATAAAACAAAAAACCATCTTTGGTTGGCTTGTGTACAACACACAGTCCTTACTTGTGTTAATGCAGATATATATATTATCTTTGAAAGTTTATGTGTTTTTAGAGCAAGGGGACCACACACCAATGAAAATTGGTGGCCAAGAGAATTCTGGGAAGAAGGAAGTCCTGGTGGGAGTCCTTTACCCAGCCACAGTGGAAGCAAGATATGACTGCCTGGCTGAAAAGGGTACCAAGCCATGTGCCTAACATATACTAGAATAATGAGCTAGTATAAGTTATAAGAGTTAATAAGAAGCCTGAGCTAATGGGCCAATCAGTGTATAACTAAAAAAAAAAAAAAGAAAGAAAGAAAGAAAGAAAGAAAAGAAAAGAAAAGAAAATTGGTGGACGAAGTGATCCAGCTGCTCAGAGTGCTTCTGTTGCAGTTTCCTCAGACCTCTGCATCCAGAACATCTTCAAGGCTGCTGGCTGAGATGGTCCAACTTCACAAACTATTCTATCAGGCTTCAACCATTATCCTAATTTGAGTCTCCCCAAAGATTCCAACACCCCCAGACAACAAGAAGCAGTCTACAGAATACAACACCCATATTCCCAAGAGATGGGATGGATAGTTTTTGGTCATTCGGTGAGTTATGGATGTCTGACATTGTTTAGGGGGATTGGCTACAAATTGTTAGTGATCATGGTAAAAAAAAAAAAAACTGAATAAAGATTAAATTCAGGGATTTCTTTCTGAAGATAAAAAGTGGGAATATGATATAAACATGATGGGATAAAAACCAAAAAAAAAAAAATCAAAAAACAAAAACAAAAAAGGTAATGTAAAATTTTAGTCCTTAAAAGCTATTTAGGATAATAAAGAAATATAGATTAGTAGTCATCTTTAACAATCATATAGTCAAGATAGATACGTTTTCAAGGCCACACAGAGATATATTTTAGATAAATGATCTTCAAACATTCCAAAGACTTACAGATATGGCATTTAAAATGTTTTTTTTTTTTTTGATTTTTCGAGACAGGGTTTCTCTGTAGCTTTGGAGCCTGTCCCGGAACCAGCTCCTGCAGACCAGGCTGGCCTCGAACTCACAGAGATTCGCCTGCCTCTGCCTCCCGAGTGCTGGGATTAAAGGCGTGCACCACCACCGCGCGGCCATTTAAAATGTTTTAATAACATAAAGCTTTTCATGATGGTGATGCACATCAGCTACTGGCAACCCCGATTTACTTCAAAAAAAAAAAATGCTGATGGGCATTGAGAAACCTCCATAAAGAGTTTGCTTTCTTTGTTGAGGGGCTGCCCTTGCCTCCACTGCTGACAGTACGCTGTCCAAACTGGACCAACAGAACACAAAAGAAGAGACTGCCAAACTTTGCCAAGACAGGGTACATCAGTCCTTCAAAGATCACCTCCTTTACAGAAAAGTCTGTTGGATAGTCTAGGCCTGCAGGATGAAAATGGATGCCCCAACATTCCAGGGCAGTCAGGGCTAAACAGAGAAACCCTGTCTCAAAAAACAAAACAATAAAAAGATCTTAAATGTGTTTTCTCGAAGGTGCTTGCAGAAACAACATATCTGATTGCCCTCACATCAAACCAACAAGTAGGTAAGACAGGTAAATTCATTGTTTCCATACAAGGGCATCCCAACACTATCCCTTCACATTATTCATGTTCAACCCTTAAAAATCCCAAGTATAGCAAAACTCGCACCAGCTGAGCAACCCTTGCCAAGGTAAACATAAATCTCAGAGTTCTCACCTCTAAAACATGAACAAGGTTGTTAGGAAAATGAAAAATCAGATGCTATACCGTGCAACACAACGGCAGAAACATAGCGGAAGGGGTGCCACTGCTGCTATCATTAATAAGCGAGCAGCTGGCGTCACGGGACCTTCGGTACAACACTTTGAGTATTCCACGATCCCCGTTACCGCGTCCTCAGTCATAATCGCACTGACAAGACCCCAAACAGATCCACCACCTTGAACATTCCCGGTTCCCACAAACCTGGTTCCCCTTTCACCCTCGGTTATGAAGGCCTTCCTCCTGCACCGGAGTGGTCAGCAACCCCTCTAGGCCTGGCCATCCCCTGACGTCAGCCAAGGACCCGCGCCGGTTACCTGGCCGCGCGCTGCTCCGCCACTCGCACACCGGACTCCACTTCGCCTCGCGATATATCTCGCACGGTGAAGACACAATTAGTTTAAACTATGGCCCCGCCCCCTCTCGTCGCCCTCTCATTGGCCCGGGTCGGCTGCTGTTAGCCGGGCACCCTGAAGGACCCGGGAAAAGGAAGAGCGAGGCCCACAGTAAAGGAAGAAACAGTAACACTACTTCCGGATCCCGGTCTTGCCTTGACGGGAACAAGAACTACAAGTCCCAGCAATCCCCGCGGCTTCGGCGTCCTGCCCCGACTGAACTACAAGTCCCAGAAGGCACTACGAACACGTTCACTGCGCTATCTGGGGCGTGGTGACGAAGATAGTTACCATGGAGTTGCGCTGAGTAACCAGCAGGCAGTGGGACGCTGAGACCGGAGGGTAAGAAACTGCGGGTGAGTTGGGCGGGAAAACAGGAAACCCTTTCTAGGACACTAGAGATCTCTGAAAGGGAAAGAATTCCACAAAAGGAGTAAGAACATTTGCAATCGGGGACCTGAGATTCTCCCCAAACACTCATCTCTGTTCTCGGTGAACACAACCCTTGAGATAAACTGGGGGACCATGAATATCATACCCATACGTATTTTGGCTCCTCAATACCAGCATGGCGCTTCCCTAGTATTAATGCCTCAAATCCCAGACACAGGGAAATCAGAAACTCCCTCGGGCATGGTGTTGGTTTTCCTCTAGAGAACCAGGATTTGTTTAACATCTGAGTAATTCACGGCCCTTAATTCTGGAAATGTAGAAAATATCACGGGAATAAGCAGGTTTCTCCCATCCACGTGCATATGAGTGTTGTCTGTAAATTAGCCTTTTCCTCCTACATTCCTGCCTGGTGGGCCTCTCAAAGATACAGTTTACATCTTCATTTCTTCTACATTCCTCATGTCAGATTTAGTAACTTCTCACGTTCTTTTACACTCTCTTTTTTCATTAAAACAACTCTATGAGTCAAGGATATTTATCGCCATTCCACAGATTGAAAAACTGAAACCCAGAGATAAGTGACTTGCCCAAGACCACACAACACCAATTTCAAACCTAGAAGTAGGTTTCCACTTCTGTAAGGCCAAACTATCTCTCTGTAGCCTGGCTACATCTACAGCAGCTTTTATTGTCCCAAGGATTATGTTAAACTGCCTGAGGGAAAAAGAACCTGTATGACCATCTTGAGTTATTTACACTTCAACATGAGTGAGTTTCAGATCCAGCCTTGAAATTATTAAGAAAGGAAACTAGAGACTGAAGGCAATGGGAGTTAAATGCGTTTAAATTAAGCAGGAAACAGCTGCCAGGACACCTGAGGTCTGAAGCTGTCACATCTCTGGGTTTGCTCTTCTGTTTCCCCACCTCACCACACCCACACCTTTATTGCCATCTACATCCCCAGCCACATCCGGGAAAGCACTTGTGGCCCCAGCAACTCTTTCAGGATAGATATGAGGCATGTCAAATTCACTGTTTCTCGATGCACTCCAGCCCTCTCTTCCAAACCTGGGATTCATCCAGTAATCCCACAATATTCACAACCCCCCACGTGTTATCCTTACTAACACTTCCATTTATAATATGGTCCACTTAATACCTAAGTGCCTTTTTCTTATTGAGAATTTTATACATGCATACAATGTGTTTTGATAAAATCTACTTTCCTTCATTCCCTCACCTCCAAATCATCCCTTAGGCCCCTAAATGGTTTTTGTTGTTGTTGTTTTATTTATTTTTTTTTGAGACAAACTCATATAATTCCCCCTGCAACTCCCTCCCTAAATACTGGGATTAAAGGTGTACACCACAACATCTAGCTAAATGTCTTTTTTTAATGGGTGTGTTTTGTTTTTTGTTTTTTTGGTTTTTTTTGAATAAGAGTTTCTCTGTGTAGCCTTGGCTATACTGGACCTTCCTTTGTAGACCAGGCTGGCCTCAAACTCACAGAGCTAACAAACGCCTGCCTGTGCCTCCTGAGTGCTGGGATTACAGACAGCACCACCACCGCCCAGCTTAAAAGACTTACTATTTTATGTGTGCTACATAAGTAGTAACTTAGTTATTATTTATGTGACACAACACGTGTACAAGAGCCCTCTGAGCTGGACAGTGGTGGCACACACCTTTGATCTCAGCACCTGGGAGGCAGAGGCAGAGCCCTCTGAGCTGGGCAGTGGTAGCACACACCTTTGATCTCAGCACCTGGGAGGCAGAGGCAGAGCCCTCTGAGCTGGACAGTGGTGGCACACACCTTTGATCTCAGCACCTGGGAGGCAGAGGCAGGTGGATCTCTGTGAGTTTGAGGTCAGTCTGGTCTACAAAACGAGTTCCAGGACAGCCAGGACTGTTGCACAGAGAAGTCAGAGGAGAGCATCCGGTCCCCTGATCTGCAGCTTCCAGTGTGGTGCTGGGAAGCAAACCCAGGCCCTCTCCAGGAACAGCACATGGTCTTCAGAGCTATCTCTCCAGGCCCACTGTTGGTTTTTCTTCTAAAGACTTGGTCTTCCTTTGCCATCCAGGTTGTCCTCAAATGTGTGATCATTGTTCACTCTCCTTAGCCCCAAGTCTATATACATCCTGTGGCTTCCTGCTGTTGTTAGAATAAAGGAGCATCTCAGGTGGCTTCTGCCCACCTCTCTAGCCTGTACGCTGTAACCATAATACTCCTCTTTTCCATTCTAGTTTATATCACTTTAAGGTCTTCCAAATTTCTGAGCACACACTAGAACATGTCACCATGGAAACTTGGCCTTTGCCCACAGCTGTAATGCATGTCTTTTTTTTTTTCTTGTAGAAAGTAGGTTGTGAAAGTCAACCCAGCACCTAATACATACTAAGTACTTTTTGTCTCTCAGCTATATCCTAAGCCCCTGGAATGCTCGTCTTTTCCTCCTGTTCCTCTGTGCTTTTTGCCTGTACTTATCCTTCAGAGGTCTCCCAATCACTTGAGAAATAACCAGGTTAGGTCCCTCAGTTATAATGCCTCCTGTCCTTCTGTGTCATTTATCTGGTTGTAGCAGTCAGGTAGTGAGTAGACGAGGACATCCAACCATGAGAAGAACACGTTGCCTGCCTGCTGGAGTCTGGTCAGACAGACAGAGAGCAGATAATGAGAGCAAGCGCTCTGGGTGCTGCCATGGCAGTAAGTATAGGGGATGGCGAGAGCCAAGCAGGGAGACTCCTCATCCAGATTTGGAGATAAGGAAATTTTCCTCAGAAAAGTTCAAGCTGGAGTTGGCTCCTGAAGCAAGAGTAACAAAGGGAATGTTGAAAGAAATACATTCCAAGCAGATTCTGGAAAGGGAAACTTTCCATCAGAGAGGCTCGTGGGCATGCAGGGACCTTACTGTGAGCTACTGGATTTGGCCGGATTGCAGAATATGGTGAGGATGAGATGGAGTCAGCAGACAGGAGTCAAATATCCCTGGGCTTTCCTTTGGCACTTGGGAATGTATAATCTTACAGAACATATTGGCTGCACAGCCAATTTTTATGGCATCCTTTGATTTCTTCCCTCCACCTGCAGCCCAGACACAGAAACCTGCTTTAAGCTAGGCTGTCAGTCTCCCATCCGCTCTCCTGACCTGATAATGCTCCAAGCCTCCTACAACTTACGTCACAACATGCTGGAGAAAGGGCAAGAACTGGCTAGCAATAAAACAGATTAAAATTCTTAGTAATTCTCCAAACTGGAATTTTTTGTCAACCTGGAATTGGTTAAGTAAAGTTAAAAATACCATGTATAGCCGGGCGGTGGTGGCGCACGCCTTTAATCCCAGCACTCGGGAGGCAGAGGCAGGCGGATCTCTGTGAGTTCGAGGCCAGCCTGGTCTACAAGAGCTAGTTCCAGGACAGGAACCAAAAGCTACGGAGAAACCCTGTCTCGAAAAATCAAAAAAAAAAAAAAAAATACCATGTATAGCCATGCAGTGGTGGTGTACACCTTTAATCCCAGCACTCAGGAGGCAGAGGCAGGCGGATCTCTGTGACCAGGCCAACCTGGTCTACAAGAGCTAGTTCCAGGACAGGCTCCAAAGCTACAGAGAAACCCTGTCTTGAAAACAACAAAAACAAAAATAAAAAAAAATAAATAAAAAGAAAGAGAAAAAAGAAAACAAAAACAGAGCAGCTGACTCCAGAGAGCAGCAAGCACCATCTGGGCTAGAAGGCAGGCCTTCTTTGTGACACAGTTAAGTCATCATTTATTCCTTAATTACTCCATTTATCCATCAAACCAGTACCTAGTCTTTGTCAAGTTCAGTGTAGAGTATTTATCAAAACAGAAGTCTAACTTCTTGTCCCTGTCCTCAAGTTTACAGGGAGAAAATGGAAATTAAATAAATAATAAAGAAATTAGTATGGAGGACTAAAGGTCTAATTCAGTTCCTAGAGTATTTGCCTCGGCTTGTAACACACGGTACAGTACTGACAGTACAGCTTCTTCTCACTATTGAGCATCTGCTGTTAGACCGTACCATAGCTCTGCAGGTAGGGTTTTTCTTCATTTCACAAGTAGGAAAAGATGATGATAAAGTTTTGTCCAAAGTGCAGCTGGGGAATGGGTCAGCTAGTCAAACCATCCAAAATCACAGTGGCTTAAAACAAGCATTTATTCTTTCTTTGATGACTCTGAGTTACCTGGATGGTTCTTATCTTGCCTGAGTTCATACATCTGCCTGCAGTCGTCTGTGGGTTAGGTGACCCTTCCAGTCTTGATATTGGCTGACTGTAGACTTGTCTGTCTGGCCTCAGCTGAGGTCACTGGCTTCTGTCTCACCTCCTCTAGCGCTCCAGCCAGTTCTCATCCATTGGCAGACAGCAGGACAGCAAGTCTTCCTATAAAGTTTCTATAGGCTAGGCTGGAAATGTAGCTCAGTGCTAGACCACTTCTTGCCTAGCATATAAAAGACTCTTGAGTTTGTGCCCAAAACAAAACATTAAATCTTGGGAGGGGGTTGTTGTTGTTGTTTGTTTGTTTGTTTGTTGTTGTTTTTCGAGACAGGATTTCTCTGTAGCTTTGGAGCCTGTTCTGAAACTAAGTCTGTAGACCAGGCTGGCTTCAAACTCACAGAGATACACTGCCTCTGCCTCCTGAGTGCTGGGATTAAAGGTGTGCGCCACCACCACCTGGCTGTTTTCATTTTATCAATATCTCACTGGCTGGTTCAAAAGCTGAGCTCAGCATCAGAGGGGTGGAACTATTAAGTTATCGTGCAAATGAGATAGATATAGGACAGACCATGAGTAGGAATCGATTCTTGCCAGCTTTAATACCTAAATTGATAAAAAATAAACTTAAATGATCTGTTTTCTCTGGAAACAAAAGATTTTTACAAAGCCAGGTATGGTGGCACATGCCTGTACTTGGCACTTAGGAAGCAGAGACAGAGGGGATCAGGAATTCAAGTCATCCTTAGCTATATAGTGGGTTCCAGACCAGCCAGGGCTATATGAGAACCTGCGTGTGTGTGTGTGCACACATAAAAATTATATAATATTAAATATTCATACATGTATATTCATATATTTAAGACAGGGTTTCTCTGTGTAACACCTCTGGGTGTCCTAGAGTTCGCTTTGTAGACCAGGCTGACCTCAAACTCAGGGATTAAAGGCATGTGCCATCACTGCCTGGCGTATATAATTTTTTAAAAACTGTATATAAGAAGGTTGGAGGGATAGGGCTGGAGAGATGGCTCAGCAGTTAAAGCACTGAGCACTGTCTGCTCTTGCACAGGACCCAGGTTCAGTTTTCAGCACCCATGAAGCTCACATCCATCTTAAACTCCAGTTGTAGAGCATCTGGCAATCTCCTGACCTCCACAGGCACCAGACACCAGGTGCATTTATAGTGTGCTTACATACATACAGACAAAACACTCATACACAGAAAATAAATCTAAAACTATATTTTAAATTTTAAAAGGTACTTTAGGGACTGGGGAGATGGTTTGGTTGGTGAAGTGCTTGCCCTGCAAGCCTGAGGACCGAGCTCATCAGACAGTGTGCACACGCAGACCCTCAGCACTGGGGACCAAGCTCATCAGACAGTGTGCACACGCAGACCCTCAGCACTGGGGAGTCAGAGGCAGGCAGACTCCTGGGGCACTCTGGCTACTCAGCTCTGCCTGCCTGGCAAGCTCTAGGCCATTAAGAGATCCTATCTCAAAAGATTGTCCTGGGCCTTCGCTCACATGTGCATGTCTGTATAGGCATGCACACCCATGCTTATAAACATACAAGAAAGAACACTTATAGCCACAGCACCAGCACCGACAAAGAGAGTCGTCATCTTAGAGCTTCACTTCCAGTCTTAACTTCTAGAAAATTCACTGGAAGCTGGTGCTACACAAGATTATCTCTGCTCTAAAGTTATAGCCACCAAAGAACAGTAAAAAAAAAATTCTTTGATATTTTAAAATACATGTTCATGTCGGGTGGTAGTGGCAGCGCACACTTTTAATCCCAGCACAGGAGGCAGAGGCAGGAGGATCTCTGTGAGCTCAATTCCCAGCAGCCACATGATGTCTCACAACCATCTGTTTTGTTTTTTCTGTTTTTTTGTTTGTTTGTTTGTTTTTGAGACAGAGTTTCTCCATAGCTTTTTTGGTTCCTGTCCTGGAACTAGCTCTTGTAGACCAGGCTGGTCTCGAACTCACAGAGATCCGCCTGCCTCTGCCTCACGAGTGCTGGGATTAAAGGCGTGCGCCACCATCGCCCGGCTCACAACCATCTGTTAATGACATCTGGTGCCCTCTTCTGGCCTGCAGGTATACATGCAGGCAGAACACTGTACACATAATAAATAATAAAGAAAATATTAAAAAAAAAAAAGAAAGAAAACCAAAAAAGAAAAAAGAGAGATTGGAAAGATGTCTCAGCAGTCGAAAGCACTGGCTGCTCTTCCAAAGGACCTAGGTTCAATTCTCAGTACCTACACCATGGCTGACAACAGTCTATAACTCCAGTCCCAGGGGATCTGACCTCTGGCCTCCATAAGCACCAGACACATAACTGGTGCACAAACATACATGCAGGCAAAACAGCCATACATGTAATTTTTAATTAAATATATAATTTAAAATGTAGGTACTATACCGTAGGTTGGGCTTCTGCCTAAGCTAAATTCCTGTAGTTTTAGAAGAGATGACTGAGGGCTGCAGACATGGCTCAGTAAGAGCTTGTCAGATATGTGCAATAAATGTACATTCTATTCCTAACACCACAGGAAAAAGGAAAGAATAGTGAGTTGTTGAATGCCTATAGATTTTCCTAAGCCAAAAGAAAACTGCCTAAACTAATCTGGCATGGCTAAGAAAACACCTACCAGTCAGGGCAGTGAGGACCTCCACCATGTTGTCCATGTGTTCCTACAAGCTTGACTTTGCTGCTGCCCAGGGGGGGTCTTCATCTCTGTCATTGTTAGCTCCTGGTCTCCTTTCTCTTCCTCCTCCTCCTCCTCTTCCTCCTCCTCCTTCTCCTCTTCTTCTTTTCTTCTTTTTTTTGAGATACAATTTTGTGTGGGCCAATGATAGCTTCAGACTTGGTCTGTAGCTGAGACTGACTGAACCCCTGATCTTTATGCTTCTGTCTCCCAAGTACTGGGATGACAAGTGTCAGCCACCACATACACTTTGATTTCTGAGAAAGGATTTCACTATGTAGCCCAGGCAGGTCTTGAACTTTAAATCATCCCAAGTGGGAAGGAGACCACTAGTGCCCAACTCAGATCTTCCTTCTTGGTCACTGACTTTTGTCATTTTCTCTCCTCCTTGGTTTTCTCTTCCCAGGATGGTCTGTCTCCAATAATGAAAATAGCAACTCTCAAATCAAGCTCAACATCATCTTCTTTTAGTTATTTTGCTTTTTGAGGCAGGGTCTTTCTATGTAGTCCTGGAGATCGATATGTAGACTAGGCTGGCCTCAAACTCATACAGATCCTCCTACCTTCTGGGATTAAGAGTGGTGGTAAACTGGGCGATGGTGGCACACGCCTTTAATTCCAGCACTCAGGAGGCAGAGGCAGACGGATCTCTGTGAGTTCGAGACCAGCCTGGTCTACAGAGCTAGTTCCAGGACAGGCTCCAAAGCCACAGAGAAACCCTGTCTCGAAAAACCAAAAAAAAAAAAAAAAAGAGTGGTGGTATTTTTTAAAAAGTGCTGGGATTCAAAGACCATGCCACTATGCTGGCCTAGAACCTTTCCTACTGAACATCTGGTAACCCACTCCAGGTCTTCCACACCATTAGCAGGCTTTCATGGCTGTTTGGAGGCCACTAGTCTCAGCCTTCAACTTCAGTTCTGTGTCTCCATCAAGTTACTGCATCCTTCCTGTAGACTTAGTATCTACGATTCAGGTCTTCCTAATGAACAACCTATGTTCATGGGGACAAACATTTGACAGAATTCAGATGCTGTGTATCTCAAAAGGTCAGTTAAGACTCCTACTTTTGTTGTTGAAGAGTCTCATGGAGCCCAGTCTGTCCTCAAATTTACCACATTGCTGGGGATGACATCGACTCCTGATGACCTTGCCTCCACTTCCTAAATGCTGACTTACAGGTGTGTGCCACTTTGCCCAAGAGACTGCTAATTTTTAAAGCAAGATACTCCTTTTTATTTCCTTTTTTTTTTTTTTTTTTTTTTTTTTTTTGGTTTTTCAAGACAGGGGTTTTCTTTGTAACAGCCCTGGCTGTCTTGGAACTGTCTTGTAGACCAGGCTGGCCTCTAACATAGATCTCCTGCCTCTGCCTCCTAAGTACTGAGACTAGAGGTATGCATCACCACACTTGGTTTAGAATTTCATTCCTCCAAAACCGATAAAGTCTGTCCTTGCACATAGTAAATTACACAAAAGGAATTTACTTGCACTGCATTTAAGTCTAAACTGCAATCAGGTCCTTCACGGGGTTTCTTGCTGTTGAGATAGGATTTCATAACATAGGCAGATCCTGACTTCATGATCCTTCTGCCTCAGCCTCCAGTGTTCACCAGCCACCTAGCATTCCCAGCTCTGTCTTTGCATTCTCAACAGTGTCCTTTATTTTGTTGTTGTTGTTTTATTTGTTGTTTGTTTTTGAGACTGTGTTGCTCAAGCTGGCCTCAAAACCACAACCTTTCTGACTTAGAGTCCCAAATGCTATGACTACAGATAGGCCTTCTGGGTTTGGCTTCTAACAAAACTGATTTATTCAGTACTTGTTAATTCCATTGTCTCTGCACAGAATAATTTTTCCTTTGGTTCCTGTGATGAGTACTACATATCCCAAAGTTTTCCTTTGTCTGCCAGGAATGTAATAACTAAATCCTGGGGTCACTGATACATTTTGTCTTTTAACCTAGTTTTTGGTTGTTTTTGTTTTGTTTTTAGAAACAGTATTTCTCTGTGTAGTCCTAGCAGGCCTGAAACTTGCTCTGTAGACCAGGCTGGCTTCGAGCTTTGGGGATCAGTATGCTTCCACCTTTCAAATGCTGTAACTAAAAGCATGTGTCACCACACCTGGCTTTTGTGTTCCATTTTTAATTTTCTGTATCAGCATTGTCAGTTTGGAGACCACTAGTCATAGTGACAACTAAGCACCTGACCCAACAGGTACCTAGTTCATCTTGAGATGGGCTCTGAAACAGCTCAGTAATTCCTAATACTGATTACATGTTAAATATTTTGGATAGTTTACTGAAATTATAGCTCCTAAAATTATCTATTTATTTATATATGTGAACAAGTATATGGAATTCAAAAGACAAATTTTATAGTGTTGATTCTGTGTTCCAGGGATCAAATTCAGGTTGCCAGGCTTGTGTAGCAACCTTCTGAACCTCCTCATAGTCCCAAATAGCTCCTAAAATCTTGAAATTATGTACCTCAAAAGTTAGGCTTGCTCTCTGCTGGCCAGCACTGCTCTGTGAGCATGTGATTGCTCTCATCCTTTTGGAAAGCCAGGAAGTAAGGCAGGGGAGATGACCACAGTGGGTGGAGTGAGAAGTAGGACAGCCTAGAGACTTGTCTTTTGTCTGCTTTTGTTCCTACAAGTCGCACACACAACACAAACAGCCGTGGGAGAGTGTTCTCAGCTTTCTTCACCCTGGGTGAGTAGTAGCCCACAGCTCTTCCTGTTCTCAGGCGGCTCCCTACACATGGGAAAGGATTGGATAAGACACGTCACTCACTACAAATGACTGATAACTGTGTTCACCTCTCTCTGGGCTGTTTCCATTTTAACAGGGAACAATCCCTGAAGCCAGTGGAATGAATCCCTAATGGTGGAGTTTCAGGCTTCAGTGACAGGTGAGTGAAGGTAGCCTCTGGATTTCTGTTTATACGTGTTGTCACATCCAAGATGTGACTGGAAAGAGGGTCCTCAGATGGGAAGGGCTAACAGACAAGCTGCGCAGAGAAGGAAGGCAGCAAGTCTCTAGTTGTGTTAGAAAGTGAAGGACTCAAACACAAACCAGGTTCAGTGCAGGCCTTCAAGGGTTTGTTAAGTAATAGTGCAGCTGATGTCAACAGAGAGTAGGCAGCCAGACAGTCTCCATGGTAACAACTGTGCAGTAGCAAAAGGGATCTCAGGGTAGGATTCTGGAAACTATGACTGCTGTCCACAACTGACTCGGCTTAATTCTGGGCAAGTCCTTCACCCTTTGGGTCTCAGTTTCTTCATCTGGAAAATAGAAATGGGCGCTACAGTCATGTGATAGTGCATACCCATAATCCTAGCACTCAGGAGGCTGGGGCTGGTGGATAGCTTGAGGCTAGCCTGGGCTACATTAGACCCTCTGTCAATAAAACAAAAACCCCATAAGGAACAGGTGCTGTAACTATCAGATGAGTTCTAAGTGTCATGAGGCTGCTCTGAGAACTAAGAAATAAACGATATGTGAAAGGACCAGTGTCTTAAAATGGAAACGCAGCTGGGCAAGCCTAAAGCTTAGAGAGTAAGACACAGTGTGGAGGGCTGTGGGCAGTCCATATCTGGAACAGTCATTCTTCTCTGTCCTTCCAGGCTGAACCCAGACTCCCAGGGCCCATGCTTCCACCTGATGAATGATGGCCTGAACTATGAGCAAACGGGACTGTTTGAACACTTCGGTGCAGGAGCCTCCTCTTGACTACTCCTTCAAAAGCATCCACGTGATCCAAGGTCAGCCCACAGAGCACAGCCGTCAGCACATTACTGTATCCAGATCATGCTAGGAAGAATCCTTAGTCTTCTATTAAAACGCCTAAACAGATTTCCCCCAACTTCTTGATGTCTCTGAAGGGAGAGGGTGAAGTTTTTTTCTTTTTTAAATAGAGATGAGGAGTGAAGGCAAAGACTCTGCCATGTAGGGCAAATGCTCTGTATCTGAGCTTTATCCTCAGCCTTGGGATTAAAAAAAAATATATTTTAATTTTATATGTATGGGTGTTTTGCTTGCACATATATCTGCACCCCTTGTATGCTTGGTGCAGACAGAGGCCATTCAGGGCATCGGACCCCCTGAATCTGGAGTTACAGATGGCTGTGAGCCTCCATGAAGGTGCTAGAAATTCAACGAGGTTCTTTGGAAGAGCATTTCTTTCAGCTCCCTTGAGATTTTTATTTTATGTCTATGAATGGTTTTCCTGATTGTTTATGCACTACATGCACATGCATGCCTGGTGCCCACGGAAGTCAGAAGAGGGTTTCAGATTCCCTAGAACTGGAGTTAGGGATTATTGTGAGCCATCATGTGGATACTGCCAATCAAACGCTGGTCTTCTGCAAGAGCAACACATGCTCTTGTGTGTGTGTGTGTGTGTGTGTGTGTGATTTTCTCGAGACAGGGTTTCTCTAAAGCTTTGGAGCCAGTCCTGGAACTTGCTCTGTAGACCAGGCTGGCATTGAACTCATAGAGATCCACCTGCCTCTGCCTCCTGAGTTTTGGGATTAAAGGTGCACGCCACTGCTGCCCAGCAGGAAACTGCTTTTGAGGGAGGACTAGCCCCTGACAGATCCCAGCCACACACATGCTCTTAACCACTCACCACCCCTAGTTTTTAAAAGTAGCAAATCTGCCGGGCGGTGGTAGCGCACGCCTTTAATCCCAGCACTCGGGAGGCAGAGGCAGGAGGATCTCTGTGAGTTCGAGGCCACCCTGGTCTACAAGAGCTAGTTCCAGGACAGGAACCAAAAGCCACGGAGAAACCCTGTCTCGAAAAGTCAAAAAAAATAAATAAATAAATAAAAGTAGCAAATCTGAAAGGAACCAGTGCTCTCTTGCGGTAGTTGACCTATCTTGAAGAGAAGTCAGGCTACAGTGGGAAACCATGAAGAATACTGAGAAACCACCCAATCAGTCAGGAGCCTTGGTCTTCTGTTTTTATCTTGAAAAGAGGAAACTAGTAGGAAAAATTAGGCCGCTGCCAGGTTCCACCAGGATGGCAGAACCCAGTCTCTTGTCTAGGAACATAGGCCTGTTCTGTCTGTTGATAAAACATGACAGGTCTTTTTAGCAACAAGTTGGCATATTCTCAGTTAAAATTTTTGACAGATTTCTTCCAATCATTCCATACATACCAAGTTTACTCCATCATCACTGACATGCACTGCAGTTCAAGCTCTGCCCACATCCAATCTCATGTTACTCTCAGTGTCTTCCTAAATAAGCAGCTGACCCCTTTCAGAGCACCCTGTGTTCTGCCCCCTCTGCCTTTGGTTACTGACCTCACAGTACACATGTATTATCTGCCTCTGGTTTTCTGTCAGTCAGTCACCCATTATTATTAGCTCTGGAGAATGACTAGACTGGGTTTTAGTTCGGGGCCTACTTCAGTTAGTGTCCAACACACCGGTAACTCATGTCTGTCTCTCCCCAGAACACACTCATCTACATGACCTTTATTGTGCTTTCTATTTCTTCTGACGTAATACATATGTAAAAAGGGGTTTAGTTTTTTTTTTTTTTTTTTGAGACAGGGTTTCTCTGAAGTTTTTGGTGCCTGTCCTGGAACTAGTTCTTGTAGACCAGGCTGGTCTCGAACTCACAGAAATCCGCCTGCCTCTGCCTCCCGAGTGCTGGGATTAAAGGCGTGCGCCCCCACCGCCCGGCCCGGGATTTAGTTTTTGTGAATGAAAGCAGAAATGTATCGTATCAAACTAACTCTTGACTTGTGGGCATGTGGGAAATGTTGCATGGCAACACATTGGAATTTAGGATCAAGGATTCCCTGTAGTTGGTGCCTCCCAATTTTAATTCTGTTAAGGGCTATATTTGTGGTCCAGTATCCAGGCCTACTCTGAACTAGGAGCCTTTGAACACATGCTCAAATAAAGTGCTACCTTAGTATAGCCTGAAGGGACAGGTACCTAAAGCAATTTTAGATGCCCCTGGCCATTTCATGTTAAGGCAACTGGATCTAGGGTCTCCCTCACAGCGTGGGACCAGCCTTTTATGTGACATTTCCCTAAGCTGCATTATCAGAACAGGTGCTAGTTCATGTGGCATTATTACTCATCTAAGTCAAATCCTTTGAAAGTTTTTGGAAGGTAGGAGAGGGAGACATGATTTGGAGTCTCCTCATGGACAGAAGTATTCTGCTCCATTATTCTTCCGGCCTCTACTCCCCCTGCCGCAGGGCTCAGCCTTGGGTCCTGTTAATTCCAAGACTGCTGCAGAGAGCCACCTGGTGGATGCCGTTTGACCTGCAGCTGAGAGGAAGTGGTCAGCTAGGGTGTGGAGAGTGCCGAGTGCATTCTCCCTACAGACTTGCTAAACGGAACTTTACCTAGTAAACTGTAGTCTGGCTCTGGGTCTCCCACTGATGCCAGCTTGGGCAAAGCCCACCCACCCTCATATGAATCTCATTTGAAAAAGACATGGGGGTAGGGGTTCTGTGGGTTTTCTCTGCACCCTCACTTTCCAATGTGGGTATTCAGCTATCTGCTTGCACTTCCTATTTAACTGCACTCCAATTTGGCTTCTATCCTCAAGTAACATGGTTACGAGCTACTTCTGAGAATTATGAATCCCTGGAACTTACTCCTCCATATCCTGTGGTCTCCCCAAACAACTTTAAACCATCCCTCAGGGGCTCGAGAGGTGGCTTAGCAGTTAAGAGTACACACTGGGTTTGTTTTCCAGCACCCACATGGCTCACAGCCATCTGGCATTTTAGTTCTCAGGGATCTGATGGCTTCTTCATGCTGAAACACACACATGCACACATGAAATTTTAACTAAAAACAAAACCCTGTTCTTCAGATTATTCACTAACTTTTATGTCCTTCTCTTCCTCTCTGAGGTACACTGTACTAAGTTTGTGCGGCTGTTCCTCGGCTCTAGCCCTTCATTTTAATGACTACTTGCCCAACTGGCTTCTCTTGCCTTTTCATACAACAGGAACTTCTTAACACATCAAACCTAAACTCATCACCTTTCCAATCCAGTTTTCTCGAGAAATTCTTCATCAGCTAATAGAGCCTGAACAAAAAGTGGGGCACCATCTTCAGATAGCCTTCTACCTTTACTTCAGTCAGCCAGTTCATAATTGCTATGTCTACCTTATCTCATGCTAAAGTAGACAAACTGATCATTGAATTCTATCTACCTTCTAAATCCATCTTCTACATAGAAGCTTCAAAGTCACCTTTCAAGTGAAAAGCTGAATTATCTCTGGTGGGTGTTTTTTCTTTTTATGTACACAGCATTTTCCCTGCACTTGTCTGTAAGGGTGTTGGATCCCTGGAACTAGCGTTATAGATAGTTGTGGGTGCTAAGAATTGAACCCAGGTTCTCTGGAAGAGTACCCAGTGCTCTTAACCTTTGAGCCATTTCTCCAGCCTTCTAATTTTTTGGTTTTTTTTTTTTTTTTTCCAGACAGGGTTTCTGTGTGTAGTCCTGGAACTCACTTTGTAGACCAGGCTGACCTTGATCTACCTCCCAAATGCTGGGATTAAAGGTGTGCAACACCACCGCCTAGCTGAATTATCTGTTTTAAATACTCCTATGACTTCTTATTCCCTACAGGACAAAGCCTGGCATTTAGGACTAAGGACTGGCTCCTCCCCGCTCTTGTGTCTTTGCTCAGTTGTTCTCATCTTCCCCTGTACATGGTGACATGTGGCTCCACCCCGCTCTTGTGTCTTTGCACATGTGGTTCTCATCCTTTCTCCCCTTTTCTGCCTGGTCAACGTCTCCTAATCTACAAAGTTCAGCTCCGATTTCACCTTCCCTGTTTGTGCTCAGTACACCAAGACCCTTTCCTTGCTGCAGTGACTGTGGGCTATCACATAAAACTCACTGCCAGTTTGTTTCCGTCCTGCCCACAGAAATTCCTGAGGCACATAAGCTTCATCCCTGCCCTATGGCTCATCCAAAGCCTGGCAATTATCTCATTGTTCACTACTGTGTATCTACTATCTGATAAAGCTTGTAATTAATGGAGGAACGGACACTGGATAGCTCCACTGAAGTAAATTCTGTAAGCTACACTAGAAAAGGATTCTGAATTTTGTGATCTCATCTTGGCTTACCCCAACAACTCTGGTTCTTCCTTTCCTTCTCTGTAATATGGGAAAAAGCCTGTGTTCCACTAATAGGGGTGGTACACACAGAATCCAATAATGCAATAGACATGAGAAGGCCATCTGACTTAAAATTCTTTAGCCCTTACTTACTCTAAGCTTACTCTGATCTTTGGAGCTTGAAACGGGTGGGGCGGAACCTCAAAGTAGCATTTGTATGTTCATCTTTCCAGTTCTTCCTTCTCTCTCCCTAAAGGCAGAAAGGCAATGATAATGAACCCAAGCCTTGAGCTAGAGTGATGGCGTGGAGGTTAAGAGCACCTATTGTTCCTACAGAGGCACCAAGTTCAATTCTTAATACCCACACAGTGGTTCACAACCACCCCAATTCCAGTTGTAAGGGATCTTGCTTGCTCTTCTGACTTCTGCAGCCACCAGGCATGTGTACATACATACAGGCAAAACACTCATACAAGTAAATAAACTCGTCTCATTTTGTCATTATAGATCTGGTAAGCGAGGAGCCAAGGACAGGTCTACGACCAGTGAAGCACTCAAAGTCAGGAAAATCACTGACCCAGTCCCTGTGGCTCAACAACAATGTCCTCAATGATCTAAAAGACTTCAGCCAGGTGGTTTCACAGCTTCTGCAGCATCCAGAGAACCTGGCCTGGATTGACCTCTCCTTCAATGACCTGACTTCCATTGACCCTGTGAGTTCCTAGCCTCGGGCATCTAGTCAAAGGGTAGCTTGAAGCCACTGCTCCAGCCACAGCCTTTTTACTCCCTTGTCAAGGAAGTAGAGGCAGGGTGGTGCAGTTCAAACAATGGAGTTGTAGAGATACATCACGCAGGCACAAATCTTTAGTTTCCCCCTTTACGTGATTGTAAATAACTTGTTTCTTGAGATGGCCTCAAAAGTATCCCTAGTTGGCCTGGAATTCACTATGTAGACCAGGTTGGTCTTTACTTAGAGATCCACCTGCGTTTGCTTCCCCGGAGGCTCACAAGCTACATAGTTTTATGGGGGGGGGGGGTTGCAGGGGGGTGAGACAAGGTTTCTCTGTGTTGCCCTGGCTGTCCTGGAATTCGCTCTGTAGACCAGGCTGGCCTCCAACTCACTGAGATCCACCTGCTTCTGCCTCCCAATGGCTGGGATTAAAGGTGTGCGCCACCATCGCCCAGCAAGCTACATAGTTTATTAAAACTTCAGCCTTCCTATAAATGGGGATTCAATGCCATAATCATAATGGTTTTGTAAGGATCAAATGAAAATGTTTGAGAACCAACTTGCCTGTCAGTGACTGGAGTAAAACTATAGCACTTCCTGTGTTTTGTGCTGAGCTCCATAGAGGAAGAGGTAGTAGAAAAGTACATCAGTTGCTTTCTGTGAAGTTGAAGTTTTAAAAACATAGTTTGGTCAAGAATGTTGGTGCTTGCTTGTAATTCTAGCACTTGGAAGTTAGAGGTAGGAAGATGAGTTCAATGTCATCCTCAGCTATAATGTAATTCTAGCACTGGGAAGTTAGAGGTAGGAAGGTGAGTTCAATGTCATCCTCAGCTATAATGTAATTCTAGCACTGGGAAGTTAGAGGTAGGAAGGTGAGTTCAATGTCATCCTCAGCTATAATGTAATTCTAGCACTGGGAAGTTAGAGGTAGGAAGGTGAGTTCAATGTCACCCTCAGCTATAATGAGCTTTATAGGCCATGAGAAAGGAGAAGGAAGACAAAAAAAAAAAAAGGAAGCAAACTAGGGAGAAAAAAATTTAGAAAAAGGAAAGATTTGGGCCCCTTCTTGCCCAAGACTCCTATTGGAGGGGAAAGTTTAGAGCATGACTTGGAGACTGTTCCCTGAAATATACAACGATATGAACTCGACTAAGAGCTGATACCCCTGCAGGCAGACTCATGGATCATCAGAGTTGGAAAGGCCTTAGCAATAAGTTAAGTCTTAAGGAGAACTGCCACCTGACCACTCAAATGGATAACCAGATGCACGCCAGCTATATTTTAGGTTTTGTCCCTAAAAGGGACTTAAAAGGTTAATTTACTCATGTTAAGAGCATTTGTTGTTCTTGCAAGAGGACCCAGGTTCGATTCCTAGCACATAAATGGTGTTTCACAACCATCCATATAACAGGTTCCTGGGGACCTGATGTCCTCTTCTGACCTTTACTAGGCTCTTATGTGGGGTACAAACGTACACACAAGCCAAACTCATACAAATAAAGTAAGGGCTAGAAAGACAGCTCAGCAGTTAAGAGTCCTTGCTGCCCTTCCAAGGACCTAGGTTCAATACCCATCACCCACATGGTGGCTCACAACTGTCTGTAAATCCAGTTCCAGGAAACCCAATGGCACTAGGCAGGCAGGCATGTGGTGTACATACATACACATAGGCAAAATACCCATACACATAAAAGAATTTTTTTTTTTTTTTGGTTTTTCGAGACAGGGTTTCTCGGTGGCTTTGGAGCCTGTCCTGGAACTAGCTCTGTAGACCAGGCTGGTCTCGAACTCACAGAGATCCGCCTGTCTCTGCCTCCCGAGTGCTGGGATTAAAGGCGTGCGCCACCATCGCCCAGCCAAGAATAATTTTTTTAAAGTAACAAAAGCATAGTAGAGTCATCTAGAATGGCTGTGCAAGGTGCTGAGGGGCCAAGTTGTTCTCCACCAGACAGTCTGAGCAGAGATGGAGTCTTTGTCCAGCTGACGTTTGATTTCTGTCTTAACAGGTCCTAACAACATTCTTCAACCTAAGTGTCCTCTACCTTCACGGCAACAGCATCATTCGCCTAGGGGAGGTGAATAAGCTATCTGTCCTCCCTCGTCTCCGAAGCCTGACTCTCCATGGGAACCCCATAGAGGAAGAAAAGGGGTACAGGTAAGTATCTGAAGCTGGGGTCCAGATGAGACCCCCTAAGCAACAAGGGGAGGGAAGACAAGAAATTGAAGACCACTCTTCTCCACATGTAGACTTTGACATTCTCCCCTTGCTCTAGAATGAACCTAGTCTTCCCAACTCACAGCCAAGCTCCCCTCCATTCCTTGCTGTCAGAAGAGATAGCAGCAACTGGTAGAGGGGGGGAGTCCTACTGTGGGGGCCTGCCCCCAGCCCAAGTCTTCCCCACAGGCAGTATGTGCTGTGCAACCTGCCCCGCATCACCACATTCGACTTCAGTGGAGTCACTAAGGCAGACCGCACCACAGCTGAGGTCTGGAAACGCATGAACATCAAGCCCAAGAAGATCCGGATCAAGCAGGATGTACTCTGAGATTTGAAGGACCCCAGCACGCCTAATGCCCTGAGGATGATCAGCTTGGTTTGACAATAAATAATTTGAGCTGTTCAGCAGATTAAAGTCCCCTGTACCTTGTAAGGATGCCTGCCTTCCATGCCCAGCAACTACCAGTAAAACTTAATAGTGGATGCAAAGGCTACTGGCCTGGCCTGAGCCCAAGAGCCTGCTTGTCACCGTGCAGGAAACTCTCTTGTCCTCACTGGGTCCCCTTTGGACTCTTTAGCCTTCAGGGATCACGGGAATGGAATAGTTTAGCAATTTCCAAAAATCCTTGAATTTGTAGAAATCTTCTTGCCTCTGCTTCTTGAGTGCTGGTATTATAGGAATAAGCAAACAAGCCTCACCCAAAATCTTCAAAAAGGGCCAAGGTATGCGGAGCTGCCTTAAATCTCCAGAGTAGAGCCAGAAAATTGCTGTGATCTGTTTCTTTCTCTTTTTGTTTTTTGTGGGTTGTTTGATTTTTCGAGACAGGGTTTCCCTGTGTAACAGTCCTAACTCTCCTGTAACTAGCTCTTGTAGACCAGGCTGGCCTCAAACTCACAGAGATTCACCTGCCTCTGCCTCCTGAGTGCTGGAATTAAAGGCGTGCACCACCATCGCCCAGCCTGTGATCTATTTCTATTAGAGCAGAGTAGTTTTATACTTTCAGGTTGTGATTCTGGTTAAGATTTCATTTCCTAGATGGCCAGTGGTAACACCCACCTTTATTCCCAGCACTGGAGGCAAAGGCGGTCAGATCTCTGTGAGTTCAAGGCCAGCCTGATCAACATAGTGAGTTCTAAGATAGCCTACACTACATAGTCAACAACAACAACAAAATTTCATTTCCTGAAAAGAATAACCAGTGGAATATGACCTCCTCTCACCCCTAGGGGCTATGTGTAAGCCTGCTGAGCTGGTGAGGACTCCAACAATCACAGCTGCCTCTGGTTCAAGTGTGTACAGCTCTGACAATGTTAGCATCAATAGATAAGGGAAAATAGGGAAAACCTACCCGAGGTTACCCCACACTCCATCAGCTAAGACTTGGCAACCCTGAACTTTTGCCTTCTGGATTCCTCTTTAATGCTCTGCATCTCACTGCTCACAAACTCTGAATAGCCAAAAATACACAGTGGAGTAGTGGGCAGGACAGAGCAGGCTGAGCCAGCAACACAAATGAATGGACTTCCTTTATCGAGGGGTGACAAACAAACACGTAAAAACCCAGGATGCTAGATATACAAACTCAATTCGGATTCAAGCTCATCTAGACCCTGGTCATAATCCCTAGTGAAGTGCCTATGAGCACCAAGTCAGGGAATGGGACAGGAGTGAATTGGAGGCCAAGAGAAAGGGTGGAAAGGGGATTCCCCTAGGTCTCCCGTTGTTCACCCTTACAGTGGTATCTCCATCTTCCCAATGACCGTGAAGATCTGCCAGGCCCTGTCCTCTTGACTCTAACCTTACCCCAGCCAGGACTTGAAGGCCAGTGGCCACCGGTTCTCCCTCCCTTGCTCAGTCCTCACTTGCTCAGGCTTCTAGCCTTATTCTCTTCCTCCACATTCTTCTCCGTGATTAGTAGCAGGTTAAGTACTGTAGAATGCCACAGTGAGGCTGGGGCCAGAAGAGGTGGGGTGGAGACGGGATGAAGAGGAGGAAAGAGCTGTCCCAGGACCCCTTTCTTCACGGGATCCCAAACTGTACAACCAGCTCTTCTTTCGCGTCCACACGGATCTGAGAAAGTGCACTGTAGGCATAAGCAGCTATCCTGGAGACCTGAGGCAGAGGAGCCAGGGAGGAAAAGAACAGACATGAGAGGGAGAACTGGGAAAGTGGAAGATGAAATAGCAATAAAAGGATTGATGAAGGACTGAAAGCCAGGAAGAGCTGGGTGTGATGGTGCTTGCCTGTAATCCCATAACTCAGGGGACTAAATCGGGAGCTGTAACAGTGAGTCCTTCTCTCAAAAAAAAAAAACAAGGGTTAGGTTGTAGTTTACTGGTAGAACACTTGCCTAGCATGCACAAAGTCCTGGGTTTTATCTTTGGTAGGAGTAAGAGAGAGGAGGGAGGGCGGGAGAGAGGAAGCAGATGCTGGAAGACTAAAGGGTGTGGGGAAGAACTAAGAAGGCTATAACAACTAAGAGAACAAGGTGGGAATAAGCTGGGCTCACCATAGGCCAGGCTCCCTCCCTTCTGTGAAGCAGTGTGGGAAGGGGATAGGGGACGGGCCAGGAGTGCTCACCTGCTGCAAGTCAGAGAAAGGGATGGGCTCGCTGGCCAGCACTTGGTGAGGCTGGCTGGTGAGAGACGGCAGCGGTGGCAGCTTCTTCCAATGGGTCAGACTGCTGCTAAGCACAGCCAAGCGGGTACTGGCCAAGAGGGGAGGGGTCATGGAAGGACAATTAGGCCAAAGCTTGCTCTGCCCTACCCTGCCCAGCAAGCCTCACTCACCATGGCCAGGGGACCATGGTGACAGGGTACAGCTCATCACAAACTCACTTGGCTGTACTCCTTTGGCCTGATCACCCTTGATCAAATATATTGGGCAAACAGGGCTGACTTGAACGCCTGAGGCGCCTAAGTGATCTGTAGTCAGTCTTCTGGGCTGCACCCAAATGAAGAGCCTGGACGGGGACCAGACTCCAAAGCTAGAAAGGAATGACTAGGAGGCTGGCACTGTGCTCACCTGTATTGCCTTGCCCGGTCCATGTATTCATGCTGCTCCATGCCCTGAGAGTCTGCAGCAGACACATCAATGATGTTGCTTTGAAGAGAAGAGACAGAGAAGACATGACAGCTGCTTCAGAGAGGCACAGACAAGTATCAGTGCTAGTTCAAGTCCAATGATATCTGACACTAATACTCCCAGCTGCCCACTGTACCAGGGCAGAACCCAGAGGCATTTCTCCCTAGTGACCTTGTCCTATTCCCCTGCCCCTGCCTGGTCCTGTGAAACTCACCTGGCTGTCTTGGCAAGGATAGAAGAAAGCAGGGCCTGTTCATCTGTGCGAGCTGAAGGTAGGCTGTTGTAGTTGGGCTCAGCTCCATTGAGGGCTTTGGTGGGGGTGCTACTGGGGTCCAGCAACAGCTTCCGCTCCTCCCGATCCTAGAAGGGGCCAGTAGAAAAAAGTCAGCCCCAGGACCTTACTGACCTTTAAATACTATTTTTATAAAGGTAACTCAAAGTGTCCAGATGTATCCAAAGTCAGAAAATATTCAGTCTCTGACTGGCCCAAAGCTGGTGGCGGTCTAGGATGAACCTAGAGAACCTGAAACATTCAGGAAGGAACAAAGCAGGCATTTGCCGGCAGTCCTGCAGCCTGAGTGTGAACTGCTCAACACCTACTGGAGGCTACTGGAAACTAGAAGCCTGAGCAAGTGGGAAAGTACCAAAATAGGGGTGTAAAGGAGAAATGGATACAAGTCAGAACCCAAGAACAGCCTTCCTGGTTCACTGGAAGAAGTACTTCCCAGGAAGGATGCTGTCCCCCAACACGGTGAGGCCCTGTTGAGGCCAGACAAGGCCCTGGACCCCAAGACAAAGCAGGCCCACTGTAACTTGCCTTATATTACCTTAAGGCAGAAACTCCTAGCCCACAACTGAGACACAACCATTATCCTCTCTTCGTTCTCTCCAGGATCTTTGTAAGGCCATCACAAGAAACAACACACACATGCACACAACACAGTCTTTCCATGTTCCCTAGGCTGCCCTGGTACTATATAACCAAGTTGGCCTGGAACTTGCCAGTGTCCAGATTCTACCTTCCCCAGTGCTGAGATTACAGGTATGTTTTGAGTGTTCACCCTCCTGTAGCCTGGTACCTGGCATGTGCTGACCTCAGAGGAACAGTGGATCTGCTCCTCCCTGCCAAACTGCACTCTTTCCCCAACATCCTCCTCAGTCTTTCGCAGCCCTGCTACTATTAGCCTATATAGACAACCATAACCACCAGAATGGATCTAGAATTAAACCAGGTCTATATTCTACAACTATTTCCTTGTCCTGGTTCAGATCCCTGTTCTAATCTACTGCTTTCTAGGCTCAACACTGCCTTGAGTCCATCAGCCCCAGATCCCGCTGGTGTTGTGTCAGGTGCAGTCTGGATAAGCAGACCTGCTTATGTCTATGTAGGTCACTTCTGGAGGAATAGAGTGTAAAGGAGGGAATGCCAGCCAATGCTGACCCATTAATTTTTGTAGCCAACTGCCAGTCTCAGCACTCTCCTCCCAGCCTGTCTCAGTTCCTCCCAGCTTCCCTGCTGCAGGAGCTGATCCCTTGCCCACAACTCACCCTACAGAGAGCTACTTCCTCCTGTCTTGCCTGCCCCACCCCACACAGGCTCAGCCTTTCCACCTTGCTCTTCCCCCTCAGGTCATCTGACCCAGTTCACCCTGGCAAAAGGAAGCATCTATGGCCTTCTGCCCCATTTACCTCTAGGTTCCCAGACAACCTTTCTCTTCAGTATTAACAGGCTAGAAAGATAAAATGCCAAAGATGAAAGGATCTCTAAGGAAAGCTAGCTGCTAGCTCCTAACGAGACCCACAATGCTTCCTGTGTCCGTTTTCCATCCCCAGTCCTGACATCTTCGTCCCATTCCCCCATCAGGGGTTCAAGAACAAGGTTATCTTTCTAACTTCCTGAAGAGGCCCAGCAACCCCAAAGAGCAGACAAACTGGGCCAAGAGTAGTGGTGGACACCTTTAATCCCAGCACTCATGGAAGGCAAAAAAGATCTGTGAGTTAAAACCAAACTGGTCTATATAGCAAGTTCCAAGCCAGTTAAGGCTAGAGTCACCCCCACTCCCGCCCCCCAAAAAGTTGACATCACCTGACGCCCAAAGAATGAGTGGTACATGGAGTAAGTTTGCCTCCCAAGCCAGTACAGCCTGAGTTGAGATTTCACCATCTACTTTAGCCCACAGTGTCTGCCTGCAACTTCTTCAGTGCAGAGAGCCCACGTCTTGTGCTTGAACACACCTTGACTACATTACTTCATTTTTATTTCATTTTATTTGTTTTGTTTTGTTTT